GGGGGGGGGGGGGGGGGGGGGGGGGGGGGGTGGGTGCAAAATTTCTACCCTAAACACTTCAACACTCCTTTCAGATCGTGTTTCACAAAAAATTTTATTTGATTAAAAAGAAACTATTCTTTTTACAAAATTTGACAAATGTGAGAATTAGCTATTTAATTATTATCAGATGATGACAATGTTACTTCCAGTTTGTTTCTTTTTTTGTTTTTTTGAGATAAAGTCTTTATTATTATAAAATATTTTTCTCTTAGTCAACAATGGAATCATTTGCCTCATTTGCAAATTTTCGATTCAATACTTGTTTTAGTGTAAATATGACTCTCAATTACTGATTTTACAAAATGTTAAAATTTATTAATATTAATTAATTTACGTTCATTTTCTAATTGATTATTTAAATAAAAATAATTCATATTAATTTATTGATCAATTAGATGAGTGTAGTCTTTTTTTTAATCTTTTTAGTAAAATTTTATATTAATTATTCAAATATTTTTATTTATTTTAATATAAATTTCAATGATCAATATTCTTTAGTAGGAAAATTTTCAATAATAAATGAACAAATTTTTTTCTCCATCAAATATCAATTAAGAGTCTTATCTTGACAAATATAATAATTGTCAATCACATGGATTATTATCTAAGTGAATAATTGTTTTTATACAAAAAAATCTTTTTATTGAATTAAGGTTGAACCTAACACAACTTTTAGTCAATTTTTTTTATCAAAGTAAAAACTTTTATAATTAACAGATCTATTTTAGTGAACTTTGATGTGGATAATCTCTGGAAAGCTTTTATTGATTTAAAAAAAACAAACATGACGAAGAGAATTTTAGATTTCCTTCAAGGAAGTCTGGTAAAGAACATTCTTTCATTATTGACATTTATGTGTTCTTTTCTGAAGCACAGAGTAATAGATGTTTGCATGAAAAAAAACAAGATATACTATAACTGGACTTTGTTATATAGCATTAAGAAAATTTTATGCGCCCTTATCAATGATTTGATTTGAGGAAAAGCTTCATTAGATGAGTGTCTAGATAAAAGATGTAAAAAAGATCAGGTGAGAAAAACAAAATTATTGATTGTTCAAATTTATTTTAGGTTATTTGGTAAGAATACGGCTACTTCACCACCGAACTCAGTTTAGAAATGATCTTTTTTTTAGTGACAGTTTCTTCTCATTCATACTGATAAATAAATATGTTAGTCAAATTAAGGGGAAATAAACTGATTTACAGTGATTTCTAGTAATAGAAGTCAGTTTTCTGAGAGATAAGAGTATTTCACACATGATTATATTGACTTCTTTCTAGATAAATATTTTTCTGTTGCTTTTTTTGAAATATTTGATCTTTCAATAAGATAATAAATTCGTTTTACTAAAGTAATAATCAATGTATTATTGCAAAAGGAAAATAATCTTACAAAAATTTTGAATAATTTTTTCCTTCGAATAAATAAATTTTATTTATTTTAACATAATTAATTCGTGTATCATCTCTGATAAACTTGTGTGCCACTCTTTCTAATGACTAATCATTGATATAAAGAAGAATATTATTATGAAAATATATTTTTGTATTAAATAAAAATTCTTCTATATAATTATCATGAACTGTTGAACTATCAAATGTAATAAGATGATTATATTTAACAATTGATGAATTTTCATTATGATTTATTCTTTTATAAAGTTGTTTATGTTTTTGTGATTGATGATAAATCATAGTGGAAATGATCGAGAAATTCGAATAAAAATTTCATACTCAAAATAGAAATAATCCACCTAGAAAATAATGTGTTATCTTTTGATAATATTGCATTTCAGATGAGTGTCTCACATCATGTTATCCACATCTATGGAGCCACACCTGGTCAAGAGACACCAGACTGGGTTAAAAAAGACATCACATTCCTATCTATTGACGTTGTTGTTTCTGTGCGACGATGGTTTACGTCGAAATTTTTCAGTTACATGTACTATAACCTAGGAATGAAATAGAAAGTTGTACCTTACCAAAACAACAAAGCCACATCA